CCATCCAGACTAACAGGGTATCTGACCTCCTGCCGGTCAGTGCCCTGGTTAGTCCAGCAACCCACCCACGAAGCACAAACAGCAATGCAGCCCACCCACAATAACTGGTTACTACACCTAGATAAAATAGCAACTTGTCCATGTCCAGGTGCCTCACCACGGCTGTGCGGGGGTCTGGTAGACTGCCTTGGTGGGTTGCTGAGTGGGCAGAGACCAGCGGTACTCTGCCCGGGTGCCAGCGCTACCACTGAAGTAGCCTGGTTGGAGCCTGGTTGTGGGAGGGGGAGACCGACTGTCTCCCCTCTGGATACACTGCTCTGTGGCTGGGGGACAGGACCGACCATCCCTACCCCTGGTGCTGCAAGTGCAGAGACTACAGTCCCATCTGCATAGTTGTGGGGCTTAACATCTCCCCTTGGTGGGTTAGGCTGCCGCTGGAGAGAAGGTGTAACAAGCTCCTCTCTCTGAACTGTAGACTGCCGCTGGGGAGAGGGGGTAACCTGCTCCTCTCCCTGACACTCTCTTTGCTGGTGGAGAGGGGGACCAACTGTCTCCCCTTTCAATATTTTGTCCTGCGGCTGGGGTGCGAGACAGACGTTCTCTGCTTCCTGGGGTACACACTGCCGCTGGGGAGGAAGGACGGCACCTTCAGCTCCCTGGGGTACACACTGCCGCTGGGGAGGAAGGACTGCACCTTCAGCTCCCTGGGATACACACTGCCGCTGGGGAGGAAGGACGCACCTTCGGCTCCCTGGGGTCACACTGCCGCTGGGGAGGAAGGACAGCACCTTCAGCTCCCTGGGATACATACTGCCGCTGGAGATCTGGGCCGACCGCCCAGCATCCCTGTAGGGCCGGTAGAGCGACCGCCGTCCCATCTCCACCTGCCATCTGTGGGTCTTCCCAGGACCAGTCTGTGAGGTCCCTCAACATTTGCGAGTAAGGACCACCTGCTTCCGCACCTGGCAACTCCGGCTGCTGCTGGGGATCTGGGCCGGTCCCCTGGAGATTGAATTGAGAAGTAATTCAATTATCTCCCAGGACAGACACAGGACTCCATTAAGCACATGGTTGCAAAAAGACACAAAACACTTTAAAATACATAAAGTAACCTTTTCACATAACACACAGACATTTCACATATCCCCAGATAGCTGGGATCTGAGCGCACAAAACTACTGAAGAGCGTTCAGATCCTATTCACACAGTTCAATTGCTATGGAGCCGAAGTCTTTAACTACACAAATGGGCTCCATGGCATAGCTATCTGGGTTAACACATTCTCATAAAGTCTGGTCCATAGTCCAAAGGCAAGAGGCGGGCAAGCAGCCCCCTCCAAGGACACGTGGCGAGGTCGGTTTCGCCACACCGCCGTTCGTGCATAAGATGGCCGCGAACACGTGTAAAGTCCCGAAATGGCGGCCATCTAACCTGAGCACAAAGGAATTCGTATGAACCATGCGAACGGCTCCACAATCACTGGGAGGTAAAATGTCATTTAACTGTTCCCCTGGGTGGTCTGATGTTCGGTATTTTGGGCTGTATGTTACAGTAGGAATATTTACACGAAAACTAGCCATTCGGCTTTTGTTTGACACATCCAGCAGCGTTGTTATTTAAGTCCAGGCAAAAGTACAGGCACAATCATAGTTCTGTTACACTGCTCCCCTTTTGTGGAACACTCCGGCAGACCCGGATTGATCCTTTTCGGGTCAACTTGAGGCTGTCCGGTCTGTAGTCAAGGTAAAAGTTACGTTTGCCTGGAAAGTCCGTCTGCATTCCCGTTGAACCGGCCAGGGCGATACTGAATGGAGAAGTTGTATGGTTGTAATCGTCCATTGTCCCCAGCCACTCGGTTCAGCCATACTAGGGGGTTATGGTCTGTGATCAAAGTGAATTCCTGACCGTAGAGGTATGGGGTGAGCTTCTTTAGAGCCCAGACCAGGGCTAAACACTCCTTTTCCACTGCCGTGTAGCTCACTTCCCTGGGTAATAGTTTCCTACTCATCTTCCCCGACCTGGCTCAGAACTGCCCCCAGTCCGTACATGGACGCATCTGTATGGACAACAAATCTTTTGTTAGGGACGGGGGCAGACAAAACCGGTGCGTTGATCAGGGCTTGTTTCAGGGTTTGGAACGCTGTTTCGCAGGCGGGAGACCACAGGACTACTCTAGGCAAATTTTTCTTTGTCAAATCTGTCAGGGGTTTAGCGATGGCGCTGTAGTCAGGGACAAATTTCCTGTAATATCCCGCAGTCCCTAAGAATGCCAGTACTTGGGTCTTGGTGTGGGGTGTGGGCCAGTTGGCTACAGCTTCCACCTTCGTGGGTTCTGGTCGCTGTTTCCCACACCCTACCCTGTGTCCCAAGTACTGTACTTCGGCCATTCCGAAATTACATTTCTCTGGTTTCAGAGTTAGGCCTGCGGCCCTAATCTGATCCAGCACGGCCTCTACATGTCTTAAATGCTCTCCCCAAGTCTCACTATAGATCGCAATGTCATCCAGGTATGCGCACGCGAATTCCTGGAAGCCATCAAGGAGACGATCCACTAAGCGCTGAAATGTAGCTGGGGCGTTTTTCATCCCGAATGGCATGACCTTAAACTGGTACAAGCCAAACTGGGTGACAAACGCCGACTTAGGGATAGCGTCCTTGGCCAGGGGAATCTGCCAGTACCCTTTGCACAGATCGATGGTGGTCAGATAGCGTCCCCTGGCAATACGATCTAATAGTTCGTCTACTCGGGGCATGGGGTATGCGTCTGTCACGGTCCGGTCATTGAGGCGTCGATAATCGACAAAGAATCGAGTTGTTCCGTCCTTTTTGGGGACTAGGACAACTGGGGAGGCCCAGGGGCTGTCGGACGGCTCTATGACTCCCAGTTTTAACATTTCCTGAATCTCCTTTCTCATTTCCTCTTTTACGGCCTAAGGGATTCTATAGGGAGTCTGTCTGAGAGGGGTCTGTCCTGGTGTCTCCACATAATGTGTCGCTAAGGGTGTGTAACCTGGCTCCTGAGAGAATGTCAATCCTTTCTCAGCTAGCAATTGTTGGAGTTGTTCTCTTTCTGTGGGAGTTAACCGCTCCCCTAGCTGCACTGTATTAAGCAGCGTTTTAGGCTCGGAGTCAGCTAACAAATCTGGGATGGGAAGACTGTCATGGTCTTCAGTGGCCGGGATACATATGGCCGCTATATCTTCGGGCCTTTCTTGGTACTCTTTTAACAAATTGACATGAAAAGACTTCTGGACCCTTTCGTCTTGGCTACTGGCAATTACATAGGTGGTGTCACATATCTGGGCCACTACCTTGTAAGGGCCTTGCCAGGAGGTCTGTAGCTTTCCCTTGACAGGTCTAAGTACCAGAACTTTCTGACCTACTTGGAACGTTCTCAGCCGGGCACCCCGATCATACCAGTGTTTCTGACGGCCCTGAGCTGCCTGGAGATGTTCTCGGGCCATTCTGTCTAGGTGCCCCATGCGGTCCCGCATCTCCAGCACATAAGGTACGATAGGAACGCCCTCATGCTCTATCTCTCCCTCCCAGTGCTCTCGGATGAGGTCGAGGGGGCCTCGCACTCGCCGTCCATAGAGCAGCTCGAAGGGAGAGAACCCTGTGGATTCCTGGGGCACCTCTCGATATGTGAACAAGAGGTGCGGCAAGAATCGCTCCCAGTCTCTGTATTCCGCTGTAAAGTTCCGCAGCAATTGCTTTAGAGTACCATTAAAGCGCTCACAGAGTCTGGGGGTGGTACGGGGAGCTGAGCAGGGTCTTGACACCACAGACCTTCCCTAACTGCTGGGTTAGATCTGCGGTGAACTGGGTCCCTCGGTCAGATAGGATTTCCTGAGGGAATCCCACTCTGGTGAATATCCCGACTAGGGCACTGGCTACAGTGTCCGCCTGGATATTCGTCAGAGCGACAGCCTCTGGGTAGCGGGTAGCATAGTCCACTACTGTAAGAATATACTTCTTACCTGAGGGACTTGGGTTAGGTAGGGGTCCCACTAGGTCGACTGCCACCCGGCTAAACGGTTCCTCGATCACAGGCATGGGTGACAGTCGAGCTTTAGGGTGGTCCCCTCTCTTCCCTACTCGCTGGCATGTGTCACAGGTACTGCAGTAACGCCGCACGTCCTTCGAGATCCCAGGCCAGAAAAAGGTCTGTGTGATCCTGTAGGCAGTGCGGTTACCCCCTAAGTGCCCTGCCAGCGGAATGTCATGTCCAATTCGGAGAAGTTCCAACCGGTACTTTCTGGGTACCACTAGTTGGCGCTTCTGCGAAGGGATACATCCTCTCCTCCTACCTTGGGTCAACCTGTATAATCTGTCCCCCTCCCATATAAAACGCTCCCGCTCATCCTCCCCACTGTCGGCTAATTCACGATACTTTTGGAGGGTGGGGTCCTTTCTAGTTTCCCTCCCAAACTCCTCTGGGGTGTCCCAAGCTATGGGTCTTTCTACCGTGTTAGGGCTGAGTGTCTGTTTGTGGCTTACCTGGGTCTCCCGTTCTGCTGGAGGATCGTCCTCGATACGGGTCTGTGAGCGGGTGGTCACGGGACAAGCAGCAGCAGTCGTGGGTAGATAAGCTGAAGCCAGAGGGCCAATATCGTTGCCCAACACGACTTCAGCAGGTAAATTGTCCATGATTCCTACTGTGGTCTTTCCCGACCCGACTCCCCAATCCAAGTGTACCCGGGCAGTGGGTAAGCGAAAAACAGCCCCCCCTGCAACACGGACAGCAACAGTACGGGTAGATACATGCTCCGGTTTCACGAGATGTTTCTGCACCAAAGTGATGGCAGCGCCAGTGTCCCTTAGGCCTTGTGCTACCTGTCCATTTACATGCACCTCCTGGCGGTGATGCTGGCGGTTATCTGGGGATGCAGCTTGTATGGGGTTTGCCTCGTACTGGATGCCCAAACACTCCTCAGGGCTCCCTTCGGTTTCCAGGCAATGAGCAGCAGAGGTGCGTGATGAAGGGGTCTCTGTGTTATTGGTCGAGCTCCTCCAGTTGTTATTGGCTGATCCCAAGGGGCAATAACGAGCAACATGCCCCGTGTTGCCGCAGCGATGGCACGTAATTTTGTAAGAATCCCGGGGTTGGTTGTTAGACCCCTGAGGACGTGGGGGTACTGGGGCCCGAAATTATGTGCGTGCGACGGGCGTTGGGGTGCGTGACTCTGCTCTAGGGGTTGGTCGTGTGGACCCTTGGCTCACCTTTCTGCGTATTTGTCCGCTAGCCGCGCTACCTCGATTGAGTTAGCAGGGCGACGATCTCTCACCCAATCCTGTATGTCTGCCGCCAGATCTTGGAAGAAATGTTCCATTAGGAATAGCTGTAGTACTTCCTCTCCGGTGTTGGCATTGCACCCTCGCACCCAATGTGATGCCACCCTTTGTATCTTGTTTGCCCATTCCATGTGGGAGTCTGCAGCCTTCTTTTTGGACTCCCTGAAGCGACGGCGATATGTTTCCGGGGTGACGGCATATCTGGTGAGCAGTGCAGCCTTCACCCAGCGATACTGTGCAATATCTTCCTCAGTAAGCGCCCGAAAAGCCTCATTTGCTTTTCCTGATAGCTTTCCAGCCAAAATAGTGACCCATTGGTCTAGTGGTATCTGGTGTAATGAGCACTGCCTCTCAAAGTCAGCCAAATACCCGTCAGTCTCTTCCTCACTTTCCACAAACGCTTTGAACGCAGTGAATGGTATTTTCTGCCTTGTAGCAGCGGGTGGGGGAGTATGAACTGCATGTGCAAGGGGTTGTCTAGCTCTTGCCAGTTCAAGTTCGTGTCCCCTCCTATTTTGTATCTCCGTTCTCGCTTCCCGGAACAGCTGATCTATTAGTTCCACGGATGTTGCTGGGTACATGGATAATCTCCGCTGAACAAGATTTGTAATTTCCTCCTCCTCGCTGACAGGGTTAGGTTGGTCCGCGACCTCCATGGATCGATCCATCTCGTCCAGCTCCAGTAGGTCAGCTATCAGCTCTCTCCGTGGTCGGTTGCTGGCACTCCTTCCTCTGGTTTCCAATAGATCCTTTAGTGTGGGTCTTTTCAGTTTAGCGTACTGGGATTCTATTCAGCACTTGCTTTGGGGATGAAAAGGACCATCCCGCCGCTGCCACCAAAGTAACGGCTACCCTGCTATAGAGGGGTATCTGCCGTTGGAGAACTCCTTTTCTAGGCAAGGTGCTGTGCAGCAATGGAGTTCTTATTCCCATCCACGATATCCAAGTGTATAATCCAGGAGTGCTGTAAAATGAGGCAGAGTAACGGTACCATAAATCTCCTCCAAGAACGAGACGAGGCTACGTTTTGAAGGGTCAAGTAGAACTGATGTTTATTGACAGGGGTCTCCTTTTATGCAATAGTGCCCTCTGTAAGGCTACACCCACATAATTATCACAACAGCCAATTACATACATGGTTCAACCCCCACGTCTCCTCCCCTCAGATAACATATAACATAATTAAAACAGACACAATTTTAACCACATTCTGGATGTACCCCAAAAACAGGGGGTACACCTTTAAAGTCCAGCACCGCTTAATAGCTCTCACTCAGGGGAACAATATATCCAAATTTCAGCCCATTCGGTTGAGGGGTTCGGGAGTTATGGATCTTTGAAGTTTTGACCGACTGCACAGGTTTTCTAGCCGAAAAGAGTTCCATAAGTTTTGGCCTTGCGGTCGATCTCCGTTCGTGCATTAAAACCCCACGAACCCCTTGCCATCCACAGTCATCCTGGTGTTCGCTTGAATCCTTATGAATGCTTAAACAAAACTACCGAACGGCCGGTCGTTCGGTAGTTCCAGCACGAACTTACGAGCTCCTGGAGGTCTCAGCGGTGTTCGCCTGTTTGCGTATCTGTTTTTAGTTCCATGCGTTCACAGGCAAACACCGCCGTTCGTGCATAAGATGGCCGCGAACACGTGTAAAGTCCCGAAATGGCGGCCATCTAACCAGAGCACAAAGGAATTCGTATGAACCATGCGAACGGCTCCACAATCACTGGGAGGTAAAATATCAATTAACTGTTCCCCTGGGTGGTTTGATGTTCGGTATTTTGGGCTGTGTGTTACAGTAGGAATATTTACACGAACACTAGCCATTCGGTTTTTGTTTGACACATCCAGCAGCGTTGTTATTTAAGTCCAGGCAAAAGTACAGGCACAATCATAGTTCTGTTACAATAATTACTTAATTTGTTGTGCATTCTACTGCATCAGGCTTCATGTTGTTTCTGGCAGCTTTGGAGCCAAAATGAGTGTTTTCGATGGCTTTCCCTGGGCTCTTTCTGCTCTCGGCTTGCGGAGCATGCACAGTAGTGTACGGTCGTATCCTTAAAGAGACATTGCACCAAAATTTAAAGAAACAGTTCTTTTTCGGTATACATTGATTTTACAGTGGTTGGATCCTGTAAAAGCTTTCAGGAAGGCTGCCCTAGAGATGAAATTGAGCTAATAAGGTATACAAATAACTGTGGTGGCCTCTCTGATGAGAAGAGAAGTTGTGGCGAAACCGGCCTCGCCACGTGTCCTTGGAGGGGGCTGCTTGCCCGCCTCTTGCCTTTGGACTATGGACCAGACTTTATGTGAATGTGTTATACCCCAGATAGGAATCCCATGGAGCCCATTCGTATGAAACTGACTGTAAAGACTTTGGCTCCATGGCGATTAAACTGTATTTGTGTGGTCCGAGCGCCATTCACTTAATAATGTGCGCTCAGACCTGAGCTATCTGGGGATATGTGAAATGTCTGTGTGTTATGTGTAAAATGTGACTTTATGTATTTTAAAGTGTTTTGTGTCTTTTTGCAACCATGTGCTTAATGGAGTCTTGTGTCTGTCCTGGGAGATAATTGAATTACTTATCTCCAGGATAGAAGACTCTGAAACTGGTTTGGGCCAGAAAGCCATGCTTCATTTAGTCACAAAGGACTTTTTACTAACTTTTGAACCCCTTGTCTGATTTGTGCCATTTTGAATATGTTGTTCCCCTGAATGGATTGATTGTGAATATGTAATTTTATGTGAATGTGATGTATGGTTTTAGAGTTATGAAAGTTGGGTAGAAAGTATGTTTTAACTGTATGTGTAATTGAGTTTCCTCTCAGGATAAGGGGAGGGAATATGTGGGATGTAACTGTGATGTGATTGGTTGTTTTGTAACGCCCTGTGGGCTGTACTATGTTTGTGGATTGGGAATAAAAGAGACTGTATGTGACAGTACAGGGAGTTCCTGTTTTAACCCTCAAAGTGAAGTGTCGTCTCATTATTGGGGGAAGGATTTATTGTATGCTGTTCCAGTTTGACTGCTAGGAGAGTAAACCTATTCGTATGGTTCCTATTCAACTGTCTACAGCATTCATATGCTTGAGAGGATTCATATGCTTCTCCGGTTCGGTGGTTGTGGTGTCTGCTGCAGTGCTTGGAGTCCTCAGGAAGCGCTAGGAGCATCCTTTAACGGAGGTACCCAGTCGGGGTGCCAGGCGATCCGTTACATTGGTGGCAAGCGGTGGGATGGCGTCCTAGTGCGAGGTAAAGCAGCTCAGAGACACAGTCGTTTGGATTTACAAATTGAAGGCGACGCTAGTGTTTATACAGCGTCCCTGTCTACATAAAGATTTGGGAAAATGGGGTTCGTGGATCCTTGGGCACCTCGCACACCTGAGGAAGAGGGTGAATTGGACTGGAGAGATATTGCCCGGCAAGAACTATGGTACAATGCCCTGGAGGAAGTCCAGTATCAACGGCAGCAGCGCCTTCCTGGTGTCGCATACCGGTTGGAGGAACAAATGGCCTGGCGGATGCCGCTTCTGGGAGACCAACCCGGAGGGCAGCAGGTCAGACAACTTGAGTACCTCGTGGAAAGGGAACTGAGCCTTGACGCCTCATACCGGGCACTGTGGTGGTGCACTGTCCAGCCAGAGACATGGAGGGCAGAGGGCATCCAGCCGGAGGGGGAGAACTACACTAGCCCTGGCCTGTTGTGGAAGGCCTTAGCAGAAGACGTCGACTTTGGCAGTCCAGCAGAGTCACGGTACTGGGCTATTTTTTATTACCGGGGTGAGATGGTACAGGGCCCGAGATCTATGGGACTGGGACAAGACCTCCACCGTTTGGCTGCCATGGAACGACAGCTAGAGATGGACTATGTGGAACTACTAAACTCATGTCAGCCACAGGGCATAGACACAGAACAGGAAAACTGGCTGGGAGACCCAGACCTGCCAACCTACAGCTGGGAAAACGCAGCCGAGGTACCCCCTGCTTCACTACCAGCGGCAGAAGTAGGGGACCTCATAGACTGGTCCTGGGAAGACCCACAGATGGCAGGTGGAGATGGGATGGCGGTCTCTCTACCGGCCCTACAGGGATGCTGGGCGGTCGGCCCAGATCTCCAGCGGCAGTGTGTACCCCAGGGAGCAGAAGGTGCAGTCCTTCCTCCCCAGCGGCAGTGTGTACCCCAGGGAGCAGAAGGTGCAGTCCTTCCTCCCCAGCGGCAGTGTGTCCTGCAGGAAGCGGAGACAGTCGGTCTCGCTCCCCAGCAGCAGGGCAATATATTAAAAGGGGAGACAGTTGGTCCCCCTCTCC